TATAAATGATCCCAACTGTATAAAACAAATATTAAGTAACATGAAAAATCAAATAAGCACTAATACAATTGTAGTGGGGGAATCTGAGTACCCCACTATCACAAATAGACAGATCATCCAGGCAAAAAAATCAATAACAAAATACTAGAACTGAACCAAGCTTTTGAATGTATGGACTTAATAGATGTCTACAGAGTGTTCCACCCCACAAAATTAGAATATACATTCTTTTCAACTGCACATGGGTCATTCTCCAAGACGGACCACATACTAGCTCATAGAACAGGTTTGAAAAAATGCAAAAGAATTGAAGTTATCCCCTGTGGATTATCAGATCACAGTGCAATAAAGCTGGAGATCAATAGCATAAGAAACTGTAGGAGCTTCACAAACATATGGAAATTGAAGAGCACTCTCCTGAACAATCAATGCATCACAGAGGAAATTAAGAAGAAATCAGTTTTTAGAAATAAACGAAAAAGTCAATACAACATACAGGAATCTGTGGGACACAATGAAAGCAGTTCTACAGGGAAAATTCATAGCACTGAATGCCCTCACTAGGAAAACAAAGCAAGCTCAAATAAATAAGATAATGATGAATCTTAGACTCCTAGAAACACAAGAGCAAGAAAAACTGAAAGCTTGAACAAGAGTGGAAATTAGAGCAGAAATCAATGCAATGGAAACTAAGAATATGATGAAAAAAATAAATGAATCGAAGAGAGGATTTTTTGAAAGGATAAATAAAATTGATAAACTCTTAGCTAACCTTATCAAAAAAGTAAAGAAAAAGCTCAGATCCATGCAATCAGGAATGAAAAAGGCGAAGTCACAACAGATCCCACAGAAATCCATAGGATCATTAATACATACTATGAGAACCTGTACTCTAATAAAATGGAAAACACAGAAGAGATGGACAGATTTCTAGATACTTATGAATTACCAAAGTTGAACAAAGAAGATAAAAACATTTTAAATACCCCAATTACAATCAGTGAAATTGAAAATGTAATTAAAAATTTACTAACAAAGAAAAGCCCAGGTCCTGATGCATTCACTGCTGACTTTTACAAGACATTTACAGAAGAACTACTGCCATTACTCTTCAGACTTTTCAATGAAATTGCAAGGGAAGCAATACTTCCAAATTCATTCCAGGAAACAGGTATCACTTTGCTTCCCAAACCAGGGAAAGATGCAACTAAAAAAGAGAATGACAGGCCCATCTCCTTAATGAATACAGATGCAAAAATCCTTAATAAGATACTAGCAAATCGAATACAGAGGATCATCAAGATCATACATCTTGTCCAAGTTGGATTTATTCCAGGGATGAAAGGATGGTTCAACATCCCTAAGGTAATAAATGTAATACACTCTATTAACAAAGTCAAAGACAAAAACCACCCGATCCTCTCCATAGATGCAGAAAAAGCTTTTGACAAAATTCAACACCCATTCATGATAAAACCCTGCAAAAAACTGGAATAGATGGTCTATATCTCAACTTAATAAAGGCTATCTATGAAAAACCAACAGCCAATATCATATTAAATGGCCAAAAACTGAAAACCTTCACATTAAAATCAGGAATTAGACAAGGATGCCCACTATCACCACTCCTCTTTGACATAGTTCTCGAAACATTAGCCATAGCAATTAGACAAGAGAAAGAGCTTAAAGCAGTACAGATAGGAAATGAAGAAGTTAAACTGTCATAATTTGCTGACGATATGATACTCTACATTGAAGACCTAAAAAACTCCACGAAAAGACTTCTAGACTTAATTGACACTTTTAGCAGAGTAGCAGGATGCAAAAATCAACAGCCTTCTATACACAAATCACAGACTCACTGAGAGAGAAATTAGGGAAATAATTCCTTTCACAATAGCATAAAAAAATGAACTATCTTGGAATCAACCTAACAAAAGAAGCAAAAGACCTCTACAATGAAAACTACAGCACTCTGAAAAAAGAGATCAAAGAGGATAAAAGAAAATGTCAAGACATCCTCTGCTCCTGAGTAGGAAGACTCAACATAGCAAAAATGGGCACACTACCAAAACTGCTACACAGATTCAATGCAATGCCAATTGAAATTCCAACACTATACTTCACAGAACTAGAAAGAATAATACAAAAATTCTTTTGGAACCATAAGAGATCTAGAATAGCAAAAGCCATGTTAAGCAACAGACACATGGCAGCGGGTATGACAATTCCCAATTTGAAATTATATTACAAAGCCACTGTGATAAAAACAGTATGGTACTGGCAAAGAAACAGACCTGAAGATTAGTGTAACAGACTGGAAGACACAAAAGCACCTCCAGATCTACTCAGCTACCTCATCTTTGACAAAGGAGCTGACCATCCCCCCTGGAGGAAGGATGGCCTCTTTAATAAATGGTTTTGGAAAAACTGGATCTCAACCTGCCAAAGATTAAAACTAGACCCTTATTTCTCACCATGCACTAAATTAAAACCCAAGTGGATTAAAGATCTAAATATTAAAACAGAAACACTAAACCTGCTGGAAGATAAGTTAGGCAGAACTCTTGAAGACAGTGACATAGGAAAAAAACTTTATGAACAAATCCTCAGTAGCATGGGAACTAGCAAAAAGAATCAACAACTGGGATCTCATCTTATTAAAAAGCTTCTGCACTGCAAAAGAAATCATCAACAGAACTAAGAGACAACCTACAATGTGGGAAAAATTTTTTACCAGCTACTCCTCTGACAAAGGACTATTATCTAGAATATATAAAGAACTCAAAATAATCAGTCCCCCCCAAATATAAAGACCCAATTCACAAATGGGCATGTGCAATGAAGAGACATTTCTCAGACAAAGAAGTAAAAGCATCAAGTAAATATATCAAAAAATACTCCACATCACTGGTAATTCGAGAGATGTAGATGAAAACAACACTGAGATTCCACCTCACCCCACAAAGAATGGCTGCTATCAAGAAATCAATCATCAACAAAGGTTGGCAGGGTTGTGGGGAGAAAGAAACACTTCTCCATTGTTGGTGAAAGTGCAGACTGGTACAACCCCTATAGAAATCAATATGGAGATACTTCAAAGTGCTGGGACTAGAGGTTCCATTTGACCCAGCCATAGCTCTGCTGGGTATCTTTCCAAAAGAATTAAAAGAATCATATCACAGTGATATATGTGCACCTATGTTTATAGCAGCACAGTTTGTAATAGCTAACACTTGGAAACAGCCCATCTGCCCATCAGTTTCAAACTGGATAAAGAAGATGTGGATTTTCTATAAAATGGAATACTACTCAGCCATAAAGAATGAGAAATTAGAGTCATGCATAGGAAAATGGATACATTTTGAGGATATACTCCTAAGTGAAATAAATAAGTCACACATGTGTAAATACTGAATAGTTTCTCTGGTGTGAATATACTACAATAGTACACAAGGTCCTAATGAGATATTAACAATGTGACATAGGAAGAAAAGGGCTAAAGGTGTAAGGAAATTGGGAAGGGTAGGGGAAAGGGATTAAGGGAAAGAAAAAAATATGAGAAAATGAAAAAATGGAAATAAGGCCTTCGGAATTGGGGATGGGAGGAGGGGGTGAAGGGAGGGCAGGGACAAGGGGAAAAAATGAGAAGACCTGTCATGTAAAGGTACAAGATCCCAATAATGAATGTAATTGTACTGTATACCTGAAATGTACCAATAAACTCAATGAAAAAAAATAGAGAAGTTGGGCTGGTGTACAGCACTTGGTGGGGGGCAGATGATCCTGGACTGGTAAGCTAAGGCAAGATGATACAGATACTAGATATAGGAGACAGAAAGCCAAGGGAACAAATGGAGACAAAAATCTAGAGCGGACAGTATTTCAAGAATAAGAAAGTAAAAACCCCAGGGAAACCCCTGAATAATTTATTACATCATATGAAAGAATCTGTAACTATGAGAAATTATAAATAATTTTTAAGGTCTGAGAAAATAGGTAGGAAAATGTGAAATGATACAAAATTGTATGTACAATATAGTTCCCATTTTGTTAATACAGTGTTCTGTATCACACAAGTCACATTTAATATATAATACATATACATGTACAAACATGTAATAGATGTGATACACATAATGATAGTTATGTGTATATAAGTTATGCATACAAGAGTGTATACACACACACACATATATATGTATATGTGTGTGTATATATATATGATTTACACATACATGAGAATAGGGAATAAAACACCCTGATAACCATGGATCTTTCTGAGTGATAGATTCTTCAGTAATATTATTCTCTTTATATAGCTTTCTACATTTTCTAATTTCCCTCCAATAAGCACGTATAACTTTTAGAATAACTTCCTACTTTGATAAAGAAAAATAGATTTTCCTAGATCAGTACTATCATAGTGCGTAATGGGAAACATGAAAATGTTTTCCAAGCCTTTTCTCAAAATCACACTTTGAAAATGTGATATTTAAATAATGTATATTCCAAGACGTAAAAGTAATGTTTTCGTCTAAAGTGAATCATTAAATAGGTCACAAAACCCCCTTTTTGAATTAAAGTTAAAACACGCAAAACCTCAAATATTTATAACTTTTAAGCAAAATGCAAATCTATATGCTCTTTAACGGACAGTGACATGTTATTTCCACAACTGAAATGGGAATACAAGTAAGATTAATTTGCCATAGCCAAAAACCATAACCAAATGCATGAGGAATACGGATTTTCACATCAGTACCTTTCCCAGAATGGATTTAAGATATAGTCAGGCACTTCCTGAATGACCACTTTGCAACCAAACCAAAACATGTGCGGCGCAAATTTCACTGAGAGTGTCTCCCTGTAATGAAAACCAGTCTACTACTACTCCTCTTTTGTAATTAATAATACAAAAGCACTTTCTTTTTCTTTCTCATTAGTTCAAGTTCCGGAAAATTACTTTTAAAACCCCACCTTTCCTTCCAATTACTTACTGCTTAAATTGTCTTCCTCAAGTTGCTAGTTGGTTAACCAGGTATCTCCACACGGATCTTCGTTATTCCGCAGTGCCAAGTAAGGACTCTTTCTGCCCCTTAAGTCTTCTTTGGTTTTTCTTCTTGTGCTCTATTTCTGAAGGGAGTTTTTAATGATTTGGCATCTAGGGCTCCCTGCAGTGGATGCCATGTATGCATTGGATTCCCTGGCTTAACTTTTTCCTCATTTTAAAGACAGGTACTCTGTAAATTTCACGTCTATGCCAACATTAAGATAATTATGGTGTATAAGACAGTTTAAACTGCGGATCCATGTAGCATTTCTCCCAGTACACTTTGTCCAAGATTGTCACATCAAAGCAGTAAAGTGGAGGCTTGGGCCCTGCGCAGCCTGGCTCATCCTGTAAAAGGTACCTTTGGATGGCTAGCACAGTGACAGGCACCACAACTGAGGGGGTGACCCATTAGCAAGGAGAGTCCATTGGAACCTTTTGTCCAAGATCTGGGTCCTTAGGTGTCAGCCTTTCCTATCATCCCTCCCGGGACCCCCGACCCGATCTCTCTCAGGATTCGGACAATATAGCCCAGCTTGTGAGGGACTAGCCTGCGGCAGACTTGACTCTGCAGACATTGTGGGATAACTGCGAACTCCCCGTATTTCCTAAAGCTAGGTTACCGGATTCAAAACTGGGAGAAAAGAAGCCCGCGCATTTTGAGGAAGGTCGCTACTCCGCCCCTGCTGACTGGCAAGACTCCGCCCCCTTCGGGAGGCCGAACGACCCTTGGCCCCCTGAGCGCGGAGCTGGTCTCGCCCCGCCCCTCGTATGGACTCGCTTTGGACTAGGAGACTCTGTTGCTAGGCAGTCGCACTCTGGCCTAACATACCAGGTCAACTGACTTGTTCCGACCGGTTACAACAGGGCGTGGAGCATCAGGGAAGGGCGGGGGGGGGTTGGGTTAAAGTTTCCAGCGCAAAATAGGAGGGAGGAGGAGGTGCACTCCTGGTTTCTCTAGAAAGGAAGGAGGCTAGGAAAAGAGAGAAAGTGACAGGTAGCGAGGTACATGTTGTCAAAACTCAGGTGTGTGGGGATTTGGGCCTTGAGCCAGCAGCAGAAAGTAATTTAGCATTTATTAATGTATATGAATGTAACAACACAGGTCTCCAGTAGTAGGAACAAAACTAGACAATGTATGTACAGCGTTCAAGTCAGTCTCTGCGAAAAGTTCTCAATAAGCAGTAGCTGCGGTTGCTACTAGCATTAACATAATTGTCTGTACTGACTCCCAGAGTGCAGGTTGGGTTAATTAGATCCTAAGTGAAATTAAAAAATGTAGAATTGTCCCTGTTAAAGAGCTACTTTAAATTTCTTAAATTGCACTTATTTTTTATACAATACCTGACTTAACATGCAGCTAGGATATAGAATTTCAGCAACTGTATTTCTTTCTTTCTTTCTTTCTTTCTTTCTTTCTTTCTTTCTTTCTTTCTTTCTTTCTTTCTTTCTTTCTTTCTTTCCTTCTTTCGTTATTAGTAGCAGGGATCGAACTCAGGACCTTGTGCTTGCAAGGCAGGCGGTGGAACCACTGAACTAACTCCCAGCCCTGCATTTTTAATTACAAAGCAAATGTTGGGGATAAATGCAAAGTGAAAAATATGATTAAAATAGAATATTTATTAGATGTACCCACATGTGTCAGTATACATAGAATGTAGTAATTGTCCTAAGAATATTTGAGATGATTGAGATAATTTTGTTTATATAAATTCCCCTTTGATCTCTTATCATTTTTTTCTTTTATTGAGTTTATTGGTACATTTTAGGTATACAGTACAATTACGTTCATTATTGGGACCTTGTACCTTTACATGACAAATATTGGTTCTCATTTTTTTTCCCCTTATCCGTGCCCTCCCTTCACCCCTCCTCTCCTCCCCATTCATAAGCACTTTATTTCCATTTTTTCACTTTGTCGTATTTTTTTCTTTTCCCTTATTCCCTTTCCCCTACCCTTCTCATTTTCCCTACACCTTTAGCCCTTTTCTTCCTATTTCACATGGTCAATTGTATCATTAGGATCTTATGTACTATTATAGTTTTTCACACCAGAGAAACTATTTGGTATTTACATATGTGTGAGTTATTTATTTCACTTAGGAATATATCCTCAATATGGATACATATTGAGGATATACTCTCATCATTTTTATGCACTATGAAGTCCTTACTATGAGACAGGCACTGTTCTCAACCTCTGAGAATAATTGTATTTATTGTCGCTCAATCAATCTTCTCATTGCTTGGGCTAAACAAGCAATTGGGCCATTGTTAATAGGTAACTAATTTATTCCTTTTATACAAATTTCTTGAGTGTCGGTCGGTTGCTATGGTGACCAAAAAACTCTTAAGAAGGGGAAAAAGAGTAGAGGCAGGAGATGATGATGATAATGATGTCGTCTACAATGACTACTACGACGATGATGATTACTACTATTGTTAGTATTGACATGGGGTCTCAGTATGTTTCCCAGGCTAGGTTTTAACTTACCAGCCTCCTGCCTCAGGCTCCCAAGTAACTATGATCACTGACATATGCTACAATTCCTGGCCAGAAGTTAATATTTTGAAGAGAGTATGACTTGAGAAAACCTCTATAAAAAGTTTTTGAACAGAGCAGAAAACAGCTGAAAGTCAGGGAGTGAGCAATGTGTATATCTGTGAGAACACTTCAATCAGAGGATCAAAAACAGATTCCATGTCACAGAAACATGCTTGATATTTTCAAGAAAATGCAATCGTTAAAATGCAAAAGGGGGCTTTGGGAGAGGGGAGAGAGGTGAGGGATGAGGTAAGAGAGGAAATAGGACTCTGGAGATTTTCATTTATTTTGAGCAGACGAGTTACAAGACATTTTGGCTTAAGCCCCACTTCTTTTAGTTCAAGACCTTAAACCAAGTACGTCTAAAGTGATCTTTCTCCTCTCTGAATTACCTTGTATGTATCACTCATTTAACATTTGTCATATAGTACCTTTCAAGTAAAATAATTAACTTTCAACATATGTTTTCCATCTCTTTAAGTTCTTTAACCTAGGCACTATTGATATTTTGAACCAGAAAACTGGTTGTTGCTGGGTTGTATTGTGCAAAGTTTAGGAGTGTTTGTCACTTCTATCCATAACATGACTATAGCACCCATTCCTTATGTCTCCTGGGGTGCAAAATTGTTCCTTTTAGTTTAGATTAGGTTAGATACTACTGGTATAACTTGATTATAAGGCTTTTGAGAACAGAAACTATTCTTTTTTGTTTTCTATAGTTCTTTCACTACTACTCTACATAAAACGCACTTGACCATTTTAAATATATAAAAAAATATAGTTCTCACTGCTTGTTTTCCAAAGAGAATATACAAGTGTTTCCATAAACAAACACAACATACAAAAATCCAAATTTACAAAGCATAAAATAAGTTCCCTTGGTTTAGTTACTTGTGGCAAAGAACAGTCTGTAGCATAGTGTAGGTAGGTGCTCAGTAGTAATTGTCATATGAATAAGTGATATTGATTTTCATTAGGTTTACTGTAGGGGTCATTAAATAGCAAGTATCTTAAATATTTATTTCAGAAAACTAATTGAACTATTTCAAACCTGCTAAATAAGCACTCTGTACACTACATACTCAATGGAATTTATACATAACAGTATTGTATCATCACATTTTGGATCCTTCCAGCTAATTCACAAAAGATGGATTGTGGCAGTGGTACTTGGTAGTTGGATAATTACAGGAATTTGTAAGAAATAGCACCCATGTTTGGTTTTACACTATTTCACAATAAAGATGTATGGGACTAAGGTTATGAATTTTGGAGTCTGTCTTACTTTAATGCTAATCTACTAATAGTGTGGATCACACCAAGAATTAAGGTGTCTGCATGAGTAGGAGTCATACCTATGGAAGTAGGAATGCTCATACATTACTGAGTGTCTGTTTTAGGATCAGTTATAGTGGACAGTAACACGAGAATAAGTAAGCAAAATGATTTTCAGAGCCAGTAATAGGTATTATTAATATTATTGTTTTCCTCCCTCACATCTAAAAGGTTTGTTATAGTGTCCTCCAGATGTAAAAATAAAAGCAGGCAACATGGTATTTTAGCAGGCATCATGGTATTTTAGAAAATGGCATATTCTAAAATATTAAAAATATCTTGATATCTAATTTGGTAGTCCACTAGATTGGGTGTGGATATGAACCACATTGAATTTTCTACCTTTCCCATTTTATTAATAAAATAGTCATGGGTGTTAAAAATTAAGTTAGTTCAGGGTTGGGGATTTAGCTCAGTGGTTCCATCATCTGCCTCGCAAGCACAAAGACCCGAGTTCAATCCTAGGTACCAGAAAAAAAAGTTAGTTCAAAGGAAAACAAATGTGCAACAAAATAATAGAATACTGTATCTGTAAGTAGCCATTAGATACCTATTAATTCAGTGTATTTCAAGCTGCGGATTATGAAACATTAGTGAAGTTTTTACAGACAACTTATTGGGTCACAACCAACAATTGAAAACATGAGAATGCTTAGCACAGAAAATATTAGAGCATACTTCATACAGTAATGCTGAAAACTGTTTTGTAAAAATTTTGTTTCATCTTTGTAAGTATATAACTATACTGTATCTTGCTCTAAAATGTATGTCCTATGATAGTTTGTGGCTGGAATTATTTAAAAACAATTAATGTACTTTTATCTCATTTTATTATTGGTTAATAAATTCAAATATAGAAAAGGGGATTAATATGAGCAAGATCACAGAATGATGAGTGGCAGTGCAGCAGAACTACTTGCTAAGCCTTTTCCTAATTACCAAGCCTTAAAAAAAGGCTTTCAAGGACACTAAGTTGGGTATATTTGGCATTATTTCCCAAATATATCATTGTTTTATGTTTGAAGAAGCTTGTTTTGGTCTATTCTCTAGTAAGTAGCATTTAATTATCCTTTATTCATTTTACTGGGTAAAATGGCCAATTAGCATCTTTCCTGGTCCTTGGACAGTGGAGGTACACATTTAGATTCATTGTTTGTAAGATTATGAGTGTAGGTGGAATTGTGGGGAAGGAGTAAACAGAAGTGGCGTGACTAGTTTGTGCTAAAAGGATGTGGAGAGTCAGGATGCTATTTCAAAGAGTGTTTAGGTAAGCTCTTCAAACATCACCATGGTAACAACAGAGGGCTTGAGGGTTGTTGCCTGGCAACCAGAGAACTACAACCTCCAGCTCAATGTTGCCCTTTCCCAAAATCTATCCCTTTTATGGCTGTTCTTAGTGATTTTATTAACTAAATTGCCTTTATATGAATTCACAGTTGGATTTGTATAGCTTGTAACACCCCACATTTCATTGAAACCAAGGGTGTTATTCTTTTCTATGATATTCCATGATATTCTTTTCTATGATATTCTTGATTTATTTATTTGAAAAGCATAAACAGAAATCTTTAACACAGAATGACCATCTCAGTGGTTCTAGAGTGCTTTTGTTCCTCAATGTCTCAAATAATTGCTTATATTTATCTCGATGCCTTTGTTTAACCTGAGAACTATCAGAGGAACTATAAATTGATATTG